CAATACTTGTAGGACTCAGGAAACTACTATGCATTTTTTTGTTTTCTAATTGTTTTGCCATTTGTATACTACATGTTATTTTATATTTTTAGTAGGTCCTAAACTGTCCATATACTTATATTACATACTAGTTCAAGAACGAATACTTGTACTTGTGACAAAAAATTATATGCTATAAAGATTCTAAACAAAACCATCGCTGAAAATAAAGAAATTTGATGCTATTTCCCGATGTCTGAAATTTACGGCGACATCCGATCGTTTACAACAGTGAATCACGCTCTTCCTGAATGGAAAGAAAATAAATTTAAAATTTCGCGAACGTTTTAAAAACATCCTATATATAAAGGATGGTGAAGAGAAACCGATACATTCAACAAATTGATTCCAATTACGATGTTAATTATTATGACTATTGCAATGATAGGATAATTAGAAAACTTAATAAAGAAAACGGAAAGATTGCAGCCATCATATTAACAAAAGGGTAACATATGTAAAGAAATTACTGCAAATCAGATCATAAAACAATAAATTTTACATATAATCTGTCTAAGATAAAGAAAACCTGTTCCTTGCTTTATGGAAAGCAAAGTAAAACATTAAATATTCGCCATTTTCATCAAAATGATTTTTCTAATCTACTGTTTTTCTTTCTTTCTGATATATTTCTGATTATTCCTTTTTTAAGTGGATCCTGGGAGATACATGTGTAATAATGTCTATCCCTTATAGAAAACTTATTATTAATTAGGGAAACTGTACTAGTATATTTAGATAATTTATTTGTTTAAAACTGATCGGATTAGCAGAGATAAAACTACATGTAGATTTTAAAAATGTGAATATAATCTTGAAACCAGTAGGACTATGAAAATATATATGAATGCATCGCTAATTTAGTCTAAATCTTTCTGTGTTTTTCAATGAATTTCTATAATGAAAAAGAATGAAAAAAGAGGGGTCAGGCTGTTCTGAAGGTGCATTCCGAGTCTAGCTGTCGGGTAAACATTGCGTAACTGACTGCGAGTGATATCCGGCAGGTGCCCGTCTGTATAGAAGAAGTGACACCTATTGTTCTTGTTTCTCGCTACCGCATTGTATAATTCACAGAGCTTCCATGTGCGTAGTACTTCACAGAGCTTCCGTTTGTCAGCGCCAGTGTAGTACTTCAAAGCGCTTCCGTTTGTGTACAATATCCATATTCACGAATAAACTGCAGTGTTAAATAAAAACATTTTTTAATAAATTAAAAAAAATGTTTTATTCGTACAATTACACAGTAAACAACTGTTTCCGATTAAGCTATATTTTTATATGGAGTTCATAGTATAGCTTGGGTTTTTTAATCTGATGGTATTAGTTATTTTCCATTTTAAATGTTTATATGCACGCGATCTTGTCACCTACCAGCCTAAGTATTAGCAAATGACTTAGGCACTATTGTTCTGGATGAGGGATAAACATATGCCCCCATACGTTAATACTCTTGAAAATCACTTCAAAATCGAGATCCTGACACAATAAACAAAACAAATCTGCTCCGAGGATCCACTTCCACTCAAGCATACATCAACATGGTGTCACATGTCTTATGTAATATTTAAATGCATCCTATTTCCATCTACCCAGGAATCTAATCTGACTATCGCTCATCCCTCGTGATGCACAGTAAGAGGCCATTCCGATTCGAAAGGAATGTCCTTTGAATCTATTGACATCCAAATTACAAAACATGAGGCTTTGCTTTAATATGTTTGAAAATTCTTGCCTTGTGACTGCAGTGTTTTGGGGGTAGCAACAAGGGGCCCATTGGTCCTCCCTCTCATCTTAATGTAGTGTTCCAATGCCCCCACTGGACAATATTTTAAAGAGTTGCAAGAATTAATTGTAAAAGTAAATACTTTACCATCAGAATGTTTATAATTTTGAAAGTGAATCAAAACTTTACTTTTTTGAAAAGTAATCTGTGAAACTTGTAAAACCTTATTAGCAGTGCCAACTGATGTTATCTCTCCTATTCTGAGGAAGCCGTGAAAAGCCAATAAAAACATTGTTTGAAATAATGCCCTTTTATATATGTTCGATATTGTATGTTCTAAAGCATCACAAATTTTATGCAGAACTACTATGGTTATTGGTAAACGAATATCCATTGAAGGTCTTGATTTGCGACAGGAACTTAATAGTTTCTGAATGAGAAAGCATGATGTATTGTCAGGCAAATTATTAATTTTATGTATATCTGCTATTGATGAAATAAATGACACGATAGAGGAGGCTGCATAACCTTCAGCAAATAAATAAGAGATAAACAAAGCCAAAGTTTCCTGAGACAACGGAAGATCATTACTCATATCAAATTTGCAAAATTTCTATAAATAGACCATGCCCGTTTATATGCTTGAGTGGAAGCTGGTGCCAATGTTGAAGTCAACAGGTTCCTCAAGACTGGTTCTAAGGAGGCAATGTTGGCAGATTGGAATCACCATTGGTTCTTTGTCCATCCAAGGAGCAAGTTAATGGAACTGCTGCACCTTCAAACGAGACAAGCAATCACATAGAATATTTTCCTTGGTACCCAGATGCCTAGCTTTAAACAAAATGTTAGACTGCAAACAAATTAGCACTAACTCTCTAACCAAATACATTATACTTTTATCCTTAGACGATTGCTTGTTAATGATATGCACAAGGGCATAATTGTCTGTGTAAAAGTAAATGCATTTGTTTTTAAAAATATGACTCCAAACTTAAAGAGCTAACACTATTGGGTAAAATTCCAAGAGAGTAATATTACATTTTTTCCAATTATCATTCCAAGTCCCATAGAACCAGTGCCCACCTAACACTGCCCCGTATCCTATAGATCCTGAAGCGTCTGTATACAGTTTTAATTCATTGGAATCAACCCACCTATCTGGTAGAAAACCGACCTACCATTAAATTTTTCCAAGAAGGCTAACCAAGTACATGAATCTGCTTTTACTTCTTTGTTTAGTCTAATGCGATAATATGCTTTTGTAATGCCAATAGTAGTGTTGATAAGTCGCCTTAAGAACGCTCTACCTGGCAAGACCACATTACATGCAAAATTAAGAAGACCAATCACTGACTGCATGTCCTTCAAAGTAATCTTTCTGCTTGGTAAAAGCTGTTCAATTGTATCTCTACATATTTTAACTTTATCAATAGGTAACCTTGCCTCCATCATCTCGGTGTCTAATTCATATCCCAAAAAAGTCATTACCTTGTTAGGACCAAATGTCTTATCCTTAGCCATAGGTACACCTATGTCGGCGCAAACTGTTAAAAATGCCACAAGTTTTTTGTGGCACTCTGTCGCAGATTTGTCAACAATTAGAAAATCATCTAATACATGAGTCATAAATTTAATTCCTAATTTTTCTTGTGCAATCCACTGAAGTGCTGTACTAAACCTTTCAAATATACGACAGGAAGAACTGCAACCCATCTGAAGAACATGTGTCAAAATACCAATGACCTTGCCAAGTGAAACCAAAGTATTCAAACTGTGATGCATGTAAGTTGATAATTCGAAATGCATTAGAAATATCTGTTTTGCAACAATATGATCCTTTCCCACACTGCTTAATGTTTTGAATAGCATCCTCTACAGAAGAGTATTGAACAAATGACTCTTCCTCGGGGTATGCCATCATTGACAGATATGACAAATGATGGATCATACGGTACTCACCCTCTGTTTTCTTACTAACTAGACCTAAAGGGGAACAATTTAAAATTGGCAGTGGTTTCTCTTTGAAAGGACCCATAATTCTACCCAAATTTATCTCCTTTTCTACCTTTTTGCTAATAACTTCTGGTAAGTCCAGTGCCGATTTTAAATTTTTTGAAAAAGAGTATTTCTACTTTCCCCTGTGTAACCAATGTGGAAACCATATCGAAAACCATTAACTAAAAATTCTGTTTCTACCTTGTCATACCCCACCAACCAGTACTCTAATCTACTGGGATTTACTGGAGTTGGACCCTTTTGTGGGATAGGTTGGTTTTGAGAATTTAGCATTACCTGTGTTGGTTGATGTGCCATTTCCTTGAAATGGTTTTTGGGTTCTGGATTTGTCCAAGAAACGAAATGGCCGTTGAATTGGTTTTTTACATATGTAGATTGGATGGAAGCCACCACAGTTATAACATCTGTGCTGGAATTTGCATGATGAACCAAGCCTACAATACCTTCCAGCTTTGTGATAGGCAAAGCATGACCCCTGAGGGACTTCCTCATACGTACCAAATGACGAACGGTCTGGTGTTATTTGCTTGACTTCTTTTCTGATTGTTTGAGGCGAGCATTAACATATATCTCCATATGGACATCACCCCATTCTACCTCACCTTGTTCTATGAGTTCCCTGAACTCCTTATCAGATTTTCTCCAGTCCCCCTTTTCCTCTGCAATTTGCCTTACTGATTCCATGTGTTTTGCAAGCTTTGGCTGTGCAAGTGTATTTTTAATGCAATATATTGTCACATACCTATTCCACGCAGTTACCCAGTCATGCAGGGATAACGAACCATCCTTAACTTCGTCGTCATCTGTGGATCGCATATTGTGGATAATACCACCTTACCTGTCTGATCCTGTTCCTCTACCTTGATAGAATACTTACTTTTCCCCTTTTCCTTTTTTAACAACAGAGCCCTATCAACATATTGTTTTGACCAAATTTTAGATTTTATTTTGTCAGAAACAGTTGCCTCTATTGGTACTGATGAGCTTACAAAACCTGATTTCTTACCGACATTTGCTGCAGGTGGAAGTTCAGTACCTACAATCTGTGAACTGTGTTCGATTACAGCGCCTGATACCAATCCTGAGATACTTGCATCCACTGACTTATTTGTTATTTGACAAACTGACCAGAAGGACCTGCTGTTAAGCTATTGCTTGATGTAGTGGAAGCATTATTTCCCCTTTCTCCCCCATATTATGAACAGAGATACTCCCCTGATGTTGCAGTAATGGTTTTATCTCTGCTAACACCTTCTCCGTGACTGCCTTTGTTATGGTTTGGGTTAATGCAGCCAAGGTTTCAGGAGGAACATCAAGGGGTTGAGTGCTTGTATCGACAGCCACAGCATCATTGGTAGTGGACTCTCCAGTTCCGTTCTGTGCACGACGTGGTCTTTTCACCTGACTTGTTTTGGACTGTTGGGCTTTATTCCTTTTGCCTGGCATAATGCTGGTAAATATATACCTATAGAAATTTAAACTTAAGGACGAAGTATGTATCCAATATATTATGTTATGTATAAATATAAACTGTAAAAGGCTTCGGCCTTAATTGACAATGAACAAGAATTGTAAGACCTCACTGTAGCCAGTGAGGCCCCAACTGTAACTGTAAGAGTCAGTTAGCCTACATGACAACGTATTTGAGCATATTGATATTTAACATTACATTATATAACCACTTTCATCGCTCAGTACAATGTGTAAATCTAATACAACAAACTAGAAAGTGATGAACCTTTTCTTACAATTAATTTTTCACTTCATTGATTCTGCCGCTTTTCGATAAAACACCCTGTATCACCTACAGTTGTTGACAAAAATTTTCCGGAAATAGAGTAAATAGTAGAACCAAAAGTGTTTTGGAACAGATCTGTATTTCCCGAATTGCCGTAAGCCAATAAAAGCACCCATTGTGCGACTGCAAAAGCCATTAGTCAACATCACTAAGCCGATGCTGATCAGTAAGAACTATCCGCCACATAAATCGAAAGGCTGACATAAGTTATAAATCACCACCTTTGAAGCCGACAACCCTCGCACCGAGTCAAATTCCCAAGAAGGCTGTAGTGCCTTTCCCACAGATAACAACCTGTTCGGCTGTTGTTAATTGTTTCCATCAGTACTACATACGAGGTACTTGAAGGGCTTGTAATGTATCTAAGCGCAGTTGCAGAAAAATAAAGCCTTAATAAAAGAATAATGAAAAACAACTATTTGTACAAGACTCAATATCATATATACAAACAGTAAACTTGTACCTTCAAAATGAAATGCGGATTTTTTTTTTTTTTTTTTAATTTTAATTCCTCCATAATCTGGACCATTGAATCGAACATGATTAGGTAAATCAACTTGAAGTGAAATCGATATAAAAATCATCAAGGTAAAAGTGGGCCTAACATTAATTAAAAACCAAAACGGCTAAATGTCAAGTACAAAAGACTGCCTGAAACTTGTACCTAGGACTTGCCTAAAGTACTGTAAAAATTCACAATATTTTAGTAATCAACTAATACCGAAACAAACAAATTGGCAGATATTTTTCCAACAAATTGTTTTCTTTTTATACAGAAAAAGGATAAATCTGGAAGGCATCAACATGCACTTCTAGACTTATCAAATAAACAAGCGATGGAAAATAAATCGCCGGGGTAAAAGTTGAAACTAAAATGAAAAGACCCGCATGGGTACAAACTTGGCAAGTACAAAAGACTGCCTGAAACTTGTACTTAGGACTTGCCTAAAGTACTGTAGAATTTCACAATATTTTAGTAATCAACTTATACCGAAACAAACGAATTGGCAGACAATTTCCAACGATTTTCCTTCACAGAAAAAGGATAAGTCGATCTGGAATGCATTGAAATACATTCATAGACATCAAATAAAAACCGATGGAAAAAATCGCCATATGCATGGTAAAAGCTGAAACTAAAATGAAAAAACCCGAACGGGTTTAAACTTGGCAAGTACAAAAGACTGCCTGAAACTTGTACTTAGGACTTGCCTAAAGTACTGTAAAAATTCACAATATTTTAGTAATCAACTGAATACCGAAACAAACTAATTGGCAGACATTCTTCCAACGAATTTACTTCACAGAAAAAGGATAAATCTGGAATGCTTTAAAATACATTCCTAGATATCAAATAGAAAAACGATGGAAAAAATCGCCATCTGCCTGGTAAAAGCCGAAACTAAAATGAAAAAAACCCAAATGGGTTGAAACTTGGCAAGTACCAAAAAAACTGCCTGAAACTTGTACATAGTATCTGCCTAAAGTACTGTAAAAATTAAAATAACAACGAAACAATCAAATTTGCTGATACTTTTTCCAACCGAATTTTCTTCACAGAAAAAGGATAAATCCGTTTTACACTATTAGACATCCTAAATGCCTATCGTACTGTTAAAATAACAAAATGTTGTATAATTTCAAAGAATATCTATCTGAAAAATTGACGAACAATAAAAGTAACAAAATGGTGACAAACTTTTATGACTTAGATGTATATCTATTTTCGCGCTGAAATTAAAGCTCCCCTTATACTTCTATATAAATGAACATTCCCCTGACTGTTCAGATGAACTCCGTCAACAAATTTACGATTGCAGTCTCCTTCACGGGGAGAAACGAAATAATTCCTATGTTCCCAAAATACGCAGTAACCCAGTGCTGGCAATGCATCTCTCAATATTGCGTTTACTTTGTCTGCAATATTATTGTACCCAAAACGAACACCAAATCGTGGCAATAATTTACAAACAATTACTTTTGCAACTTTATAGCGGCGATGCATTACCGATACCACAGATTCAGTTTCTGCAGCTAACAAGGTAGCGTCGGTACTTGGACTAATATCGTTCTCCCCAATCATTAGAACAACTACATCTGGACCTAAAGCAAATACGCTCTCCATATCCTTAGATATTACATCACGAACCTTTCTTCCACCCACACCCCTGTACAGAACGGAATGCGTTTCTCCAAGACCAAGGCTCGCAGAATACCTAATGTCACCATATTTCAAGAATTCATGAAAACGACGCACAATTGAGTGGGCAAGAATAACAACTGAAGTTTTACTCATAGCAGACATAATGAAATAAATTTACTCACCAAAATCTTGATAAAATAAATTACAAACTTTGAAACAACGTCCGTCCTCCAAGGATGTAGGTGGGAGAAAAGGCAGAGTAACGCACCGCATGGTCGTAATAATTTCATTTGTTAGATTTTAATTGGTCAGATTTTGATTGGTCAATCTCTGCCTCCTACCACGGTAAGACATGGAACAAAATTAACATTACAAATCACAGCTATACAGTATTTCAGACTTTCACATTCAAGGAGGACACTTATTGATTACAATAAAAATTTTTAAGTAAACTTAAATTTATTTAATAAATTAAAAAAAATGTTTTATTCGTACAATTACACAGTAAACAACTGTTTCCGATTAAGCTATATTTTTATATGGAGTTCATAGTATAGCTTGGGTTTTTTAATCTGATGGTATTAGTTATTTTTCAAAATGAAATTTTTTGAGCATTCAATCTTAGCAGAATTTTTAAATCATGTGCGTGTGTGCTAAATAAATTGCGACTTATTCAAAATAAAACCTGGACATAAAGAAAAATATGCTATAACTTAAGTATTATTTTCTGCTGTCGGTGTTCATTTTATTATGCAAGCACATGTAACAAAACTTTAAGTTATCCCCATGTTTTTTTTTTTTTTCAAATTATTTTCATAATTTGTAAGTTGTAAAAATAAGAATTAACTGCGTGACAATGAATACAAAATTTACAAAGTGACAATTACACGTTTTTACTGACCCGGTAAATTAAGTATTATACTCTACATATTGAATTTATACCGAGTGGGAGTTAATACAAAATTTAGACGATGACAACAATGAAAAACGAGATATGATTTTGAAATTCTGAATATTTTCTTTTTAAGATTCCGCAGCAACAGCATAAATATTGATGATATTAATAGCATTAAAAATACGCAATGAATGGTAAAGTCAGTCAAAATACATCTTTTCTATATTATTTTATTTGACAGTAAATTTATTTCTAATTAACAAGTTGTAAATTTGATCTGTGACACATCACTCTATTTCTGCTTAAATTGATTAAATACCATTGAAAAATGTCTTTGTTTGAGTTATTTCTTTATTCATTTAATATCAATATTTCGACAATTGTTTTGATTTATTTTCATAATTTTGATCATCAGCAACGAACAACTTTCAAGTAAAAGCTTTTTGAGACTTGCTAAAACTTTTTTCTGTCATTGTGATTGCGACCTGTTCATCAAAATTTTTATATGTACCATGCAGTAGAATTTGTCAAAAGCATTACCATTACCCTTACGACATTAAAGCTTTTGTATTAGCACAGCAGAAATGTAACTTATTAAATTTTCAGATGTGGATCAAGAATTATTTGACAGGAACTACTATTTATCATGATTTTTAACATTGGTTGGATAAATTTTGAAAAACTAAATTTCTTAAATAATTAATATTTAACTAATTGGTTGATATAAAAAAATAAATAAATAAATAAATAAATAAGATATATTTCATTTTAAATATGCTTAGAAGACTTAATTAAATATCCTTGTAAAAGTTCAAAAGAAATACAATAAAAAGCAAACACAATTTCAGTTTTATTGTTGACGATACTTGTACCTACTGATTTTGATTTGAAGAAAGTTTATAAATAAAGAAATTTGAACATTAGATTACAATAAGTCTCATAATAAAAATAATAATGTTTAAGAAAAATAGCCTCAGTGTTACTCAGATTTACCTCAGTAGCAACAGTATTAAAACTCAGGGCTACTCAGTATCAGCTCAGAGCCCCAGAACCACCTCAGTATCCCTCAGTACCTCCACAGTACCAACAGAGTCAACCTCAGAACCTCCCAGTATGTCCTCAGTGTATACAGTAAAAACCTCAGTGCTACTCAGGACTTCCTCAGTTACTCAGTACCGGGCTCAGTACAACTCAGGGTTTTCTCAGTACCACTCAGTACTTCCACAGGGTTTTGTTGGATTCTCAGTGCTTTTGAGTTACAGTAGTGCTAGCTATAAGTCACTGCGATTAAACTTTTATTGGAAGCATTCTGGTATATATATATTTTTTTTGTTTTCCATGAAATTGATACTTGCTCAATTCTTATATAAAATGAGACTATTACTTATGTATTTACGCATCCCCCCTCCCCAAAATTTTACTCACCTTTTCATCGAATATAAAAATGTCAAGTTCTGAAACATATATCTAAAGGTATATGTAAATTATATTTAACTTAAGCAAATTTTTGTCAGGGCACGATTCACCCATTAATTTTTTATTTAACTGATTTTTATTACTGTACACTTCAAAGGCATTTAACCTATTAATTTGTAGAGAGAATTAGGTTTTGTGCTGCTAAATTTTCCCATATGGAGTCTCATATTTTCAGGCTTTGTTTTTTATTGTTACTATTCAAATCGAATATCGCTGAACGAGAAGAATGTTCCGAAGAGAAAGATCATAATGAAGTTAATGGAGGAAAAGGAATGAATTAAGAAATAACAAGACACTTAGTGGAATAGTTCAAAATTCTTTCACTACAACATCTCAATAAGACAGCTTCTAGAAGATTACGATTAAATATGTTAGAAAGCTAATGAAAATAAATTATGAACATGGGCGGTGAGTAAGGTAAAAGGGGCATTGTTATTGCTGTGGAGCGATTAACAAAACATACATGTAACACTATGTTCATGTTGAAACTTATGTGGATTTACCAATGCTTTTTGTACAAGATTTTAACGTAATCTATAATTTAACGTAACATTTCAAAGCCTTTTGCACTACACATGATTATGACTTTATCTTTGAGTAAAAGTCACATTTCGCAGATGAATCTCGTTTGAGTGTGGCAGGTCAGGTCAAATAATCCAACTCTAAGGTCTGATTTCAAGTATTGCACCATTCCACAGAATTCATTTCCTTG